TCTCCGATTGTAAGCTTTATGTTCCTCACCCGCCGTCAGTCGCCACCGGCAATTTCAGAATTTATTAGGCATTTTCACTTAGCCGGAGAATATTATACTTCGGCACCGTCACTTTCTAAGGTTCATCTTTATCTCGACGTGCTTCTCTAATCCCTGTCCCTCCAATCGAAGTCCTCGGTCGCCGCGCAACTGCTAGGGTTTTCTTCCGGCTTCATCCTTTTTTTCGTCTCTGCACATTTCATTTGTATCAATGGCTGACTGGCAGCAATTTATCCAATCGGTATTGATCGGCGTTCTTTTCTCGTACTTTCTCGCGAAGCTCTTTTCCGTGATCTTCGCCTTCCGCGATGAAAATCTCAGGATCACGCGGGCGAATTCGCCGGAGCCGGAAGCCGAGCAGGTCTCTGCAGATCCTTCGTCTGGCGTTCTGGAAGAAAAGGAGCCGCTGATTGGTGGAGACGGGAAATCGTGCGGTGAAAGAGAGGTAATTGAAGCTGACTGTAGCGATAGTGATGATGATTGGGAGGGCGTGGAGAGCACAGAGCTGGATGAGCTGTTCAGTGCCGCCACTGCATTTGTTGCCGCCACAGCTGCTGATCGGGCGGCAGCGAAGGTGTCTAACGATATCCAGCTGCAGCTTTATGGTCTGTATAAGATTGCCACTGAGGGACCGTGTTCTGCTCCCCAGCCTTCAGCTCTGAAAATGACTGCTCGTGCCAAATGGTACTTCTTGTAACTCTGAATACTGTTTATTGACTTTTAAGCTTAGTGATTCTCACTTGATCTTGGCTTGTGATAGAGTATACTTGATTGGCAATGCTGTTGTGATAGCCATCCCATTTCAATTTGGTGTGTGAAAAGTTCGATTGTTCATAGCTTATATTATGGCATTAGCTATTCCATTGCATGTAACTTTGTCATTGTTCAACTCATATCAGTATGCTAAAGCATTTTAGTGATGCTCATGAAACAATATGCACCTCAAAAGTTTCAGATTACAGTGTTGTTTGTAACAGGTGATGTTTGTAACAGGTGATCTGGAGAGGAGCCGCTTTCTGGTATTAGGGCATATGACCTTCACAATATTGAATATTCATTATGAATGGCCAAAAACTGTGTTCATTTGTTTAAGAACTTGAATTTTGAGTATGCAATTTCAACGTGCTCTATTGCTTTTGTAACCGGATGCCTATTCTGTTCTGTTGGGTTACGCCTACGGTATCAATGAAAATTTGTGTTCTTGTGTCCTAGGCAAGCATGGCAGAAACTGGGCACTATGCCTCCTGAAGAAGCAATGGAGCAGTATATTGACATCGTTACTGAGTTATATCCCACTTGGGCTGATGGTGCTGCCTCTGTGAGATCAAAATCATTTTCTTCTTTTTCCATTTTCTTTGTTATATATATGTATATATATAGGGTCTAGTTTTCCCAGATTCGAGTTCTGTTTGCACTCATCTCGGTTGTTGCTGGCATTTCTGTATAATGTAGCAGAAGAAAAAAGATGAAGGGTCAACTAATGCACAGAATGCAGGTTCCCAAGGGCCGATGGGACCTGTCTTTAGTAGCTTTATATATGAGGAGGAAGCGGGATCTGATTTGTAAGGATCCTGACCTTGATCTATATGCTTGTCATTTGACATTTTGTAGCATACTCTGAAGTGGTTGCTCTTTATCCTGTGTGCTGTTTCTGTTGACTACAATAATTGAAATTCCTTTGTATTTTCCCTTAAAATTTGTCCAACTAATGTCTTCGATATGCTTAACCTTCCCAGCTATTGTACTCTTAACTTACTCTGTAAGTAGGGTACCTTCTCTACTTCCATATCTACCTGCTACAGTGGAGAGTAAAGTTCAAAGGTATTGAGTGAAAAATTAATTATTCTTGGTGCTGATTCGCACAAATACTGTTTTTTTTTTCAAAACAAAAATTACAGGTCTCACTCCTTATCCTCTTCTTCTCTTATTAACTTTCTAAAAATATTAGCCCTCCACCCACCGATCAGATGGTCCAGAAAATCACATCATGCATTACTTATTTTTTTTTAGAGCGTGTATGTGTGTATTTTGCTGTGATCTTACATGTAGTCAGGCTAAAGAAACTTTAATTACTAGATGTTTTCTTCATCAAATTGACTTGGTGAGTAGAATTTAAGTTGTATGTCTACCAACTTCTTTTCAGGAAAATGGATGCTATACATGGCTTTGCACGAGAAGGAGATGAAGAAAAGCTGCTCAAGTGCATTGAGAGTGGTGTCCCGTTAAATATAAAGGGTTGGTCAATCTTAATTTTCTTTAACATTTTTAATTTTTGTTTGCTGCATTCATTAAATGAAGAAGTAATCCTAATTGGCTGATACATGCTTCTGATGTTGACTGTCTATCTATTAAGTTTACCCCTTGAGAAGGAAAAAACCCAACTCTAACTTGAAATACTATGTAACATCCATTTCTTTTTGAATATCCCATGGGACCTTTTCGGTTTATTATTTTATTAAGCATTCAGTAGTTCAGATTGATAACATTTATTACCTAGATATAATGTTCTTTAATCGTTGCAGACAGTGAGGGCCGCACCCCTTTGCACTGGGCTGTAGATCGAGGCCATTTGAATGTCACAGCATTGCTTCTGGGCAAAAGTGCTGATGTCAATGCTAAGGTAAAATTAAAATAAAAATTATTTGTAGCCTCAAATTCCATTTGATATGAGAATACAAGTGAAAGGGAAAAGAAACATGTGAAATTTGCTAAAACATAAACTTGCTGTTTTTTGTAAGAAATATTCATTTCGTGCATTACAGGATGATGAAGGTCAAACCGCATTGCATTATGCTGCTGTATGCGAGAGGACTTCAATAGCAGAATTACTTTTGAAACATGGTGCTGATATAGATATTAAGGACAATGAGGGAGACGCTCCTCGTGATCTTTGTGAGTCGAGCTGGCCGGGGCTGGAGCTTCTGGGCTAAAACGGCTAACTGAACTGTTAGTTTCGTGTTTTCCATACTTTTGATGATCCCACTCTTTGTACACATGGTACATACTTATCACCTGGAGAATATCGGTCACTGTATACTTTGAGTTTTCTTTTTGGTTACTTTGCAATCCAGGGGTTTGGCCAAATCTATAAATAATTAGATAATAGTCGTTTGCTGGTTTCTTGAATTTGTAGTTTACGGGCATAGTTTGCCTGTTGTTCCTGGATCCCCAAACTTCACAGATTATTTGAAGGGGCCAAGCTGAAAAAAAAAATTATTAATTTTTTTTGGCAATCTGCTCGATCAATTGCATATTATATTGTCTAGTTCAGTATAGCTATGCTTCATTCTTTGTGTATCTACTATCTGCTAGGTATTTCCAAAATTATGGCAACATTCGAAGCAGAAAAACTTTTGTTGAAATTATCTCTTTCTGATACAAATTCCAGTTTCCAAGAACGGGATACTAATGGCGATTTATCAAGAACTGAAGCTCTTGTGGATTTCTTCCTAGGCAGTAAGCCCCGGCACTAGTTTCCTTAGCCAAATGTCGCCTAATGACTAATGAGTAATGAACCTCTTGCACTTAAAGGTTGGGAAAAAAAAATTATACACCTCCATAAACAATACTGTATTTCAATATTCTAGGGGAGTGTTGTTAAATGATAGTCACGTTATGACCTTATAATATTGCTAAATCATAATCACGTTCAAGATCAACCAATGACCTTATTAAGTAGTATATGTAGATAAGAGATTGAGATCGCAATTGGGCAATAGACTTTTTCTTTGCACAAAAAATAATAGCCAAGGCAAATCCCATAATAGACTACATATCATACAATGGGACCCCAATCCAGATTAAACTGCTCTAGTAATGTAGCATCAAAATCTACTTCGCCCAAAAAATAAAAAAAAAAATAAAAAATAAAAAATAAAAAAAAAATGAAAAAAGAAAGAAACCACCGCAAGCATTCGAGTTCCATCTTCCATGTCTCTAAACTAATATAACATGTCTACTAAACCCAAACCCTATTCAAAGAACTACCTCAAAAACCAACCTTCTAGTCTTCTACAGCTCATCATGGTCATCATCTCCATCATCCATCCCCGTATCGCCACCTGGCGCACCACCACTCCTCTGGTAAACCGCGGTTATGATGGGGTTGCACACGGCCTCGACCTCCTTGAGCTTCTCCTCGTAATCCTCCTTCTCGGCATTCTGGTTATCGTCCAGCCACTCGAGCGCCTCCTTTGTAGCAGCCTCGATCTTCTCCTTCTCGTCCGACTCCAATTTGTCCGCCAGCTTGTCCTTGTCGTTCACTTGGTTCTTCATGTTGTAAACGTACGTCTCGAGGCTGTTCCGAGCATCGATCCTCTCCTTGACCTTTTTGTCCTCCTCGGCAAATTCCTCAGCCTCACGGACCATGCGGTCAATCTCTTCTTGGCTCAGGCGGCCCTTATCGTTGTTGATGGTGATTTTCTCCGACTTGCCGGAGGCTTTGTCTTCGGCCTTGACGTTGAGGATGCCGTTGGCATCCACCTCAAAGGTCACCTCGATTTGTGGGGTCCCCCTGCTCGGTAAAACATTTCACAGAATTTGAATTAGAATCGCTTTTTTATGAATTCGAGACAACAAATACAATATCTCAAGAAGGTTAATGGTTGTAAATAAGGATACAGACCTTGGGGCAGGGGGAATTCCGGTAAGATCGAATTTACCGAGCAGCCTACAGTCCTTTGTAAGACTCCTCTCACCCTCGAAAACCTGTTGATACACAAAAAACAAAAGCAGTTTAGTCGTTAGTGTTGTTATCATAAGCCAGAAAAGTGCCGATACTTTTCTATCATATTGAGATGGAAATCAAGTATGATACCTGAATAGAAACAGTAGTTTGCTGATCCTGATAGGTAGTGAAAACTTGGGACTTCTTGGTCGGGATAACAGTGTTTCTCGGGATCAATTTGGTCATCACTCCCCCAACAGTTTCAATGCCAAGGGTCAAAGGGGCAATATCCAATAGAAGAACGTCTGATTTTGCAATACAACATAGTTAGGTAGCTTACATAATATTATCAGAATCAGATTTCACAGTCAAGTATACTAAGCGGGAGTGTTTTGAGGAGAAGTTGAGAAAAATTGTGAACATGAGTTTAAAATCAAAACAAAAAGCAGAATCATACAGTTCCTTAAATAAACACACACTCCTCCCCAGCTTTTTCTATGTCAATGAAATGAAGCAGATACAGAATTTTTTAGCAGATGAAGATGAAGATGCAGGCATTAGCAGACACTCATATATCAGTTAAAACCTTATACTACTTTTATATAATTTTTCTTAATTGCTTGCAGACATTCCCATAACCAAATTAGTAGATGAAAAGAGCATTAGTACCTTTGACCTCATCACCACCCTCTCCACTCAAGATTCCTCCTTGGACAGCAGCACCAAAAGCAACAGCCTCATCAGGGTTAACGCCTTTGCTGGGCTCCTTCCCATCAAAATATTCCTTGAGAAGCTGTTGAATCTTTGGAATCCTGGTGCTCCCACCAACAAGGACAATTTCATCAATCTGCCGTTTTTCCAGGTTGGCATCCTCCATGGCCTTCTTGACGGGGCCCATGGTCTTTCTGAACAAGTCGTTGTTCAATTCCTCAAAACGGGCCCTGGTAAGGGGCTCAGAGAAATCTATGCCATCAAAGAGGGACTCAATCTCCACACGGACTTGGTGCTGACTGCTCAAAGCTCTCTTGGCACGTTCGGCTTCTCTTCTCAACTTGCCGAGTGCCCTGTTATCCTTGCTGATGTCCTTCCCGTGCTTCTTCTTGATGAGCTTGATAAAGTATTCCATGATCCTCTGATCAAAATCCTCACCTGTAATATCAAAACATGTCTTTTGAGAAAATCAGAATGATCTACTTCAGTGAATTGTTAATCCTCCATCATATGATATCAGTATTATCTGAAGGGTTTTCAAACTTGACATTAATAAAAGAACTAGAAAAAAATTGCAACTAAAATAAAATATTTGGATCTTGGTAAAAAAATGATAAATAGATGGAAAAAACTCTACTAGTATAATCTTTACCTCCCAAATGAGTGTCCCCATTCGTAGAAAGAACCTCAAAGACACCACTGTCAATGGTCAAGATACTGACATCAAATGTCCCACCACCAAGGTCAAAGACAAGAACATTCTTTTCACTACCCTTCTTGTCCAAACCGTAGGCAATCGCTGCTGCAGTTGGCTCATTAATAATTCTCACAACATTCAGCCCAGCAATGACCCCGGCATCTTTCGTGGCCTGTCTCTGAGCATCATTGAAGTAAGCTGCACAAGACAAGATACAGAAACAGCATTAACAATGGCATAACACTCCTTTATTATTAACATTCAATAATTTTTGGGCAAAACCTTACCAGGAACAGTGACAACGGCATCCTTAATTTTCTTTCCAAGATAAGCCTCAGCTGTTTCCTTCATCTTAGTCAAAATCATGGCGCTAATCTCTTCAGGACTGAAAACCTTGGTCTCACCATCCTTGATTTTAACTTGTATGTAAGGCTTTCCATCTTTGTTAACAATCTTGTATGGAACGAGCTTCATGTCCCTCTGGACCTCTTTATCTTCGAACCTGTTCAGTAGAAAAGTTTCGATCATGATTTGAGATATGCATCACATGTAAATGAAGTAGATGAAGGGATACAAGCCATTACTTTCTTCCAATAAGTCTCTTGACATCAAACACAGTCCTCTCGGGATTACCGGCTGCCTGATTCTTTGCAGCCTCACCAATCAACCTCTCACTGTCAGTGAAGCCGACCCATGAGGGGGTGATACGGTTACCTTGATCGTTTGCTATGATTTCAACATGTCCGTTCTTGTACACCCCAACACACGAATAAGTTGTGCCAAGATCTATGCCAATAACAGTTCCATACTTGACAGCCTCCTCTTCAGCAATGGTATATGCAAACAAGCTCCCTGTCACACAGACACTCTTTACATTAACACATTTATCACAACGACTGTATCGTATATATCAGGCTGCAAACCAACTATGACACACTTTCTATGTTGAACAAGTAAAAGGCAAATCACTATTTAGCATTTAAGGATACAATATGCAATAAATGATGGCATCTGCAACTTGTTTACGTGAATCTATAACAGGGACTTCCGTTTTCTGTTCAGTTCAATGTTATAAAGGAACAAATAAAAGCAAAATTCATTTCATCAGAACAGCTTCAAATCAAAATCATGCGCGCATATTCAAATGAGTTCTCGTATTTCGCAGCCCAACACCATAGATATAAATCAAAAACCATACATGTTCCCATCCTGTCCTGATTTCTCGTATAAGCAGATCTGAAGACTAACATAACACAACTAGGATCTACATTCCTCGATAAATTAGTATACCAATTTTCGCATACAACAAACACACACACACACACACACACACACACACACACCAATACTCGCTCAAATTTCAGCTACAACATTCTCTACGCAGATCATTCGTCCTCAATTTACAAAAACGATACACGATCAGTTCATAAAAAGCCAACATCAACCACGAAACAAGCATTTACACATTCACACAGAAAACAAATTCTAATGTTTCATCTGACAAAAACAAAAAAAAAAAAAAAAAAAAAAAAAAAAAAAAGCGAGAAGCTCACCGATAAGCAGGATCCCAAAGACGATTGAGGATGGGCGTCTACACCACGCACCAGCCATTGTTGCGAAGCTCGAAAATCAATAACAGTAATCGCTTCTTCTCCTTTACCTGTGCTTTGTTGTAAATCGTAATCTCCTCTTGTGTTGCAGTTGTCAACCTGAAGATTTATATGGTGTGTGTATATATATATATATATATCGGACAATTTGCGTTGATGGGTTCAATCCGTCATTCCTATGACGTGGACCAATAGGATTTCGAGTATGGTCATGATTGCAATCAACCTCTATACGTACCATGTCACGGATGCTGACGTGGAAAAAAATGAGGGGATGATCGTGTCACTCTCGGTGACGTGGGCCAATCAGAGCACGAGAAGAAACGTGCGTACCAATTAGATCGCTTCGGTTGCCGATTTTATTTTTTAATGCTTGGATTAGGATTAGGTAATTACGTATTTAGTATTTACACTTTTTGCTGCTTCTCGAATGTTCGTTCTCTTCGAAGCCTTGTGAGGGTTCAAGTTAAATTTCAAAATTTATTTTTAAAAACAAGAAATATAAATATAGATTACCACTAAAACAAATTTTGCAGTGTTATGAAATACGGGGAATATAAAGAACACAATGTATAAAAACCGGAACAAATTATAAGTTGCTTTATTTCTTCACACTTCGGTACTCACATCACAATGTGTTTGGCCCCTTTTATAGGCAAAGGGGCACACATCCCAATACACATATATATATATAATAATGTAATGATAAGTAGTGGTAAATCCACTTTTACCCAACACTCTCCCTTGGAATTACCACTATTAAATGTGCGTTTATGCTGCCTCGTTAAAAACCTTATCTGGAAAAACCCTGTGGGAAAAAAATCGAGACAAGGAAAAAAGAGTACAGCCGCACATACTCCCCCTCGAGTTATCATCCGTGCAAATCTCGAAGATGTCTCATTCCAATATTGTGCACGTGCTTTCGAAATATTGTCGTTGGAAGCGCCTTCGTAAACAAATCTGCTGCATTATCGCTTGATCGGATGTATTGAACTTTGATTTGTTTGTTTCGTTCAAGCTCTTGCGCATATAAGAATAACTTTGGCGGGATATGTTTAGTTCTGTCACTCTTGATGTATCCTTCTTTGGTTTGAGCGACACATGCTGCATTGTCTTCGTATATCACCGTCGGGTCATTATTGTTTGATAGTCCACTGGCTTGTTGAATATGTTGAGTCATGTTTCTAAGCCAGATGCTTTCCGTAGTTGCTTCATGGAGTGCAATGATCTCAGCATGGTTTGAAGACGTCGCGACTAATGTTTGTTTTTGGGAGCGCCAAGAAAATGCAGTTCCGCCAATTGTAAAAACGTATCCAGTTTGAGATCTTGCTTTATGGGGATCTGAGAGATATCCTGCATCTGCAAAACCGATTATTTCATGTTTTTTATCGTTAGAGTAAAACAGTCCCAAATCGATTGTCCCTTGGAGATAACGGAATATATGCTTAATTCCATTCCAATGCCTCATTGTAGGTGCTGAGTTATATCTCGCCAACAAGTTGGTAGCAAAAGATATATCTGGTCTGGTGCAATTTGCAAGATACATAAGAGCCCCTATTGCACTCATATATGGTATTTCAGGACCAAGTATTTCTTCATCTTCATCACAAGGTCGAAATGGATCCTTTTCAACATCTAATGTTCGATTGACCATTGGGGTACTAAGTGGATTCGCCTTGTCCATATTGAATCGTTTCAGTATTCTTTTAGTGTAATTAGATTGATGGACAAATATCCCATTTTGGACTCGTTCTATTTGCAAGCCGAGACAATATTTGGTCTGTCCGAGATCTTTCATTTCAAATTCGCCTTTTAGTAAAGTGACTGCTTCTTCAATTTCATTTGTAGTCCCAATAATATTAAGATCATCGACATAGACAGCAATTATCACAACTCCATCTTGTGATCTTTTTATAAAAACACACGGGCATATTTGATTATTTATGTACCCACGTTTCAGTAATTGTTCACTCAAACAATTATACCACATACGCCCGGATTGTTTCAAGCCATACAATGATCTTTGCAGTTTTATCGCACATAACTCTTTAGGTTTGGACTTTAGTGCCTCGGGAATTCTAATTCCTTCTGGAATTTTCATATAAATGTCAGCGTCTAACGATCCATATAAGTAAGCAGTCACAACATCCATAAGACGCATCTCAAGATTTTCATGGATGGCCAAACTAATCAAGTATCTGAAAGTAATCGCATCCATAACAGGGGAATATGTTTCATCATAATCGATCCCAGGCCTCTGGAAGAATCCCTGTGCTACAAGGCGAGCTTTATATCTTGTGATCTCGTTTTTCTCATTTCTTTTTTTGACAAAAACCCATCTGTACCCAATAGGTTTTATGTCTTTGGGTATAATGGTTATAGGTCCAAAAACCTTTCGTTTATTAAGCGAATTTAACTCGGCTTGAATAGCACCTTTCCACTTGTCCCAATCATGTCTTTTCTGACATTCAATCATAGACTTTGGTTCAGGATCCTCAACTTCTTTGTCAATTTCTTGTGATACCATATATGCGAATGCATCATCAATGATCTCATCACGCTTCCAAAGTTTCCCATTATTTACATAATTGATGGATATTTCAATATTTTCATTTCGTTCCAAAATTTTTCCATCATCTTGATTCCTTTTCAAATTCGAATTTTGAATTTCTCTTTTCTTTCGAGGATTCTTATCTTTAGACCCCACTGGTCTTCCTCGTTTCAATCGTGCCTTTAATTCATTTGGCACATCATCATTTATCATTTCTTTTGGAATCTCAATTCGAGCAGGGGCATTTATAGCTGCAACATGTGATTTTGTCACTCTTTTTGTATCAGTAAATGCATCTGGCAATTGATTTGCAATATTCTGCAGATGTATAATCTTTTGAACTTCTTGCTCTCTTTGTTTGGTGGGAGGATCAAGATATGACAGTGATAATGTTCTCCATTCAATATTTTTCTCAATTGACTTTTCATTCCCACCTAAAGGGGGAAACAATTCTTCATTAAAATGACAATCATCAAATCGAGCTGTAAAAACATCACCTGTTTTTGGCTCAAGATATTTTATTATTGATGGAGATTCGTATCCAACATATATTCCCAACCTTCTTTGAGGCCCCATTTCCGTACGTTGGGGCGGAGCAATTGGTACATATACTGCACAACCAAAAATTCTTATGTGTGCAATATTTGGTTCTCGACCAGATGCCAACTGTAATGGCGAGTATGTATGGTGTGCACTTGGTCTTATGCGAATTAGTTTATCTGCATGCAGAATAGCATGTCCCCATACAGAAGTGGGCAGTTTTGTCCTCATTATCAATGGTCTGGCTATAAGCTGCAGTCGTTTAATTAATGATTCTGCTAGACCATTTTGAGTGTGACCATGTGCTACGGGATGTTCAACATCAATTCCCACTGCCATACAATAATCATTAAATGCTTGAGATGTAAATTCTCCAGCATTGTCCAGTCTGACCTTTTTTATAATATAATCTGGGAATTGAGCCCTTAATTTGATAAGTTGGGCAAGCAATTTAGCAAATGCCACATTTCTAGTGGATAACAAACTCACGTGAGACCATCTACTAGAAGCATCAATTAACACCATAAAATATCTGAATGGACCACAAGGTGGATGAATAGGTCCACATATATCACCATGAATCCTTTCTAAAAATAATGGTGATTCATGCCCGACTTTAGTATGTGATGGTCTTATTATCAATTTCCCTTGAGAACATGAGGCACATGTCAATTCATGTGTTTGCAATATCCTCTGATTTTTTAACGGATGTCCACTAGAATTTTCAATAATTATTCGCATCATTATCGAGCCAGGATGACCAAGTCTATCATGCCAAAGTTTAAACATTTCATTCGCCTGTGACTTTGTTGCAGCATAAGTCTCAATAATATAAATGCGGGTGTAATATAAGCCCGATGATAAAGCTGGCAATTTCTCCAAAACACATTTATTTCCCGCAACATTTGAAGTAATGCAAAGATATTCAACTCCCCCTTCATTCATTGTTTCAACATGGTATCCGTTCATTCGGATATCTTTAAAACTCAACAAGTTTCTTGTTGATTTCGGGGAGAATAATGCATCATTCAATGAAAATTTTGTACCTCCCGCCATAAAAAATATGGCTTTTCCAGAACCCTCAATTATCTTTGCATTTCCAGATATTGTGTTTACTTTTGCTTTATTTAATTTCAAGTTGACAAAATATTTTCTGTCCTTGAGTATAGTATGAGTTGTGGCACAATCTGCAAGACATATATCTCCATTTTGAATTCGAGACCGATCCATGATCTAAAAGAAAACAACATTATTATTGATCAAATTTGAAATACAGATACAACTAGTAGAAATACGCAAATACAACAAAAAAAAACTTAGAAAGCAATAAAAGAAACAGGATAATCAGTTGTTCTTTTGGTCATTTCCAGCTCTTTCTTCAAATACCGCATCAGCAAAATCCAGGTTCAACATGTCATCGATGCCATAGTCATCATCTACACGTGTTGTATTATTTTCAGAGGATTCCCCAACTATAAAATTAGTTTCTACATTTTTATCTTTTGATTTCTGGGAATCATTATATTTATCAACAACGTGTTTCGGAGCACGACAGTTTCGTGCCCAATGTCCCGTCTTTCCACATCGATAACACGCATTTTCATTATTATTCTCCGTCACATTATTTTGTTCAAGTTTTGGCTGAAAATTTCCCCCCCTTTCAAAATTTTGGACATAGCCACGGCCTCGTCCACGATAATTCCCTCGGCCCGAGTTGTACCCTCTGTGAAATTTGAAGCCTTGGTCAAATCGACGATCTGGGCCATATCCACGGCCACGGCCACGTCCACGTCCACGACCCCGGCCACGTCCCGAGGTATTTCCACGCACATATGTCTGGTTGTTTTCAGTTCCGGTTCCCTGTTTAGATATTACAACATTTATTTCAGGGACCGCAGTAGACCCCGTGG